TATAAAAGTTTATTCTTAATATGCTTAAATTATTGATGTATAATAAAAGTAAAACATGTGCAAAACTAAGAGAAAAGTGATAATAAGAGATCAACCAAATGTATGTAATTTTAGGGATTTTTTATTGTTTAAACAATAAAAAATCTCTGAAATCATATAAATCTAAACTTTAAATAGATTATCATTTTTATGCATACAAGATTGGTGAAGCCTATTATTTACTATAAAAGTTTATTCTTAATATGCTTAAATTATTGATATATAATGAAAATAAAACATGTGCAAAACTAAGAGAAAAGTAATAGTAAGAGATCCACCAAACATATATAATTTTGGGGATTTTTTATTGTTTAAACAATAAAAAATCTCTGAAATCACATAAGTCTAAACTTTAAATAAATTATCATTTTTATGCATGCAAGATTAGTGAAACTTATTATTTAGTATAAAAGTTTATTCTTAATATGCTTAAATTATTGATGTATAATGAAAGTAAAACATGTGCAAAACTAAGAAAGAAGCAATAGTAAGAGATCTGCCAAATGTATGTAATTTCAGAGATTTTTTATTGTTTAAACAATAAAAAATCTTTAAAACTGCATAAGTCTAAATACTAATCCACTATAACTATGTATCATTTGCATAGAAATTTATAATAATTTATTTGTATTAATAAAGTTAAATAGAAAGACCAATATTGGTTTTTCTAAGTTAGTATAAACAATAAATATAATATATAATTATTAAAATTTGTAAACAATAACAATTACTTGTATTAAATATATCAAATCAAAAACCCAAATCTATTGATATAAATCCATTTTCTATTGCTGCTCAATCAAAAGAAGATTCAAATAATGTTGATAGTGAATCTTCTACTAAAGAAAATGAGAATAATTCCTGTCAGCTTAAAGTACCATGATTAGCTAAAGAATCATTAAACTAGGACCTGAATTGGTCTAAATTATATCCTTGGGTTTATTGTGAAGAAGGATCATTAAACAAATTTATGTTTTGTCATTGGTGTATAGAGGCTAGTAAAAATAATAAGTTTACCAATGGTTGTGAATACTTTAAAAAACAATCTTTAGACTAGCACTTTAATATTAGTGATTATCAGATAGTATGTGCTGCTCAAGTACAATCTCAAATTACCTTACATTTTAGTTTTGCTATTTAAGCTAGAACCAATCTAATTAAGGTTATGAGAAATATGCACAATATATATTTTTTAATTTAACATAATTTGTTTACCAATATATTTGAATGTTTGTATAAGCTATCTAAAATTCAAGATAATGAAGACCAAAACTAATTTGAATGTAGTACTGAGATTTTAAATATATTTGATACTAACCAGCTTGCTGATGATGATGAACAAACATCATATAGTAGTTATCAAAATAATGTTTCAGCATGTGAATTTATTGAATTAATTAGTTGTGTTATAGAACAAGAAACTTTTCAAGAACTACATAATTCAGATGGTTGGAGTCTTATGATTGATAAAAGCAATACTATCTATTAAACTGTTTTCCAGGCAAATTTGCCTGGATTTTTAAATTAAATTTAGTATTTTTTAAATAACATAATAAATTATT